TGCATGGGCCATATGGGCCAATAGATTGGCGTTGTTTCACACGTGCTTCAGACACCAGTCATGCAGGCTGCATTCTCCATTGTGTTGAGTGTTGAATTCCCTAGAAGGAGAACCGTGATTGTGCCTGTATCTGTTACATGCATGGAAAACAACCCATGTTTTGTGCTTTTCTCCACATAGGACTTGTTCCGCTCCACCATGAAACCAGTGCAGAAGGTTCTGGAAGACTCTGACCTGAAGAAGTCTGACATCGACGAGATCGTCCTGGTTGGCGGCTCCACTCGTATTCCCAAGATCCAGCAGCTGGTGGAGGAGTTCTTCAACAGCAAGAAGCCGTCCAAAGGAATCAACCCGGATGAGGCTGTGGCTTACGGAGCCGCCGTCCAGGCTGGAGTTTTTAAAATTCCAAATTAATTGTAAGCCAAATGTTTAGATTTTCTATTTAAATAAAACTAAATCATTAGACTAGTTATTTTAAGTTAAAATTTAATTTTTTTTTTTTTAGATGAATTATTTTTTTTTTTTGACATGGAAAAATTAAAGCTTTTTAAAACTGGGAAAATGTAGAAAAATATGATGGCCCTATTTTGTTCCTTTTTTTTTTTTTATTCAAGATAAGCTTGCTTTACCAATTTTACTGCATTTCTTTCCAGGTGAGCGTCCGCTGACCAAAGATAACCACCTCCTGGGCACCTTTGACCTGACCGGCATCCCTCCGGCTCCCCGCGGCGTCCCTCAGATCGAGGTCACCTTCGAGATCGACGTCAACGGCATCCTGCGCGTCACCGCCGAGGACAAGGGCACGGGCAACAAGAACAAGATCACCATCACCAATGACCAGAACCGGCTGACGCCCGAGGACATCGAGCGCATGGTGAACGAGGCCGAGCGCTTTGCCGACGAGGACAAGAAGCTAAAGGAGCGCATCGACGCACGCAACGAGCTGGAGAGCTACGCCTATTCCCTGAAGAACCAGATCGGGGACAAAGAGAAGCTGGGCGGCAAACTGTCGCCCGACGACAAGGAGGCCATCGAGAAGGCGGTCGAGGAGAAGATCGAGTGGCTGGAGTCTCACCAGGAGGCAGATCTTGAGGACTTCCAGGCCAAGAAGAAGGAGCTGGAGGAAATCGTGCAGCCCATCGTCAGCAAGCTGTACGGCAGCACGGGTGGCCCGCCACCGGAGGAGGGTGACGATCAGGGCGATGATCAGGGCAACAGGGACGAGTTGTAGATCGTCCGGACTCTGTTTTCAGTCGCGTTGACTCCCTCGCCTCTCTAGGTGTACATACTGAACACGACGGACATTTTGTACGAGACGGGTGAACGTAAAGCCTCAAATCTCTTCGGGAAAGACTTGAGGGAAGTGTTAGAGTTGCGTTTGTTGTCTTATTTTTTTCTTCACTCTGGTGGAGATTCAGTCAGCCTGGTTTGAGGCTCGATGCTGCTGTTCTCAGGCAGTTCTGTGAGGGGCTATGAGCGGGAGGGAGGGTGTTCGGGATCATAGGGTTTCTGGGTAAACCGCATGACTCATGTCACATGCTAAAAGTTATTTATTGAAATCTGGCAACTGTAGAAGACATTTCTACCACAATTACAAAATAAAGGTTTGATACAAAATCAGCACAGTTGTTTGCGTCTCTTTTGATTTTTAAATGTCATTGTCACTGAACTGAGAAAGAGTTTTTGTTCCCCTCAAATTTAAGGTGTGTGTGTATGTATGTGTATATATATATATATATATATAGATAGATATATATATATATAGATATATATATAGAGAGATATATAGATAGATATATATATATATAGATATATAGATAGATAGATCGATAGATAGATAGATAGATAGATAGATAGATAGATAGA